TCGATTGCACCAATACACGGAAAAATAAATATCAATTGCACCCACACCATGGGCATACAACCCTAAGGGGGGGGGGACATCTCGTGATGCGGTAATTGCACAAATACACAGATTAAATTAAACAGTAGGACAAGGGGTGATGCGGCAGTACTACACATTCATTTGAGCCAAAATGCCGATAAGCGAAGCAGATGCAATTGCAACAGGTGCATGTGTGTCGTGCCGACCGCTGTCGCTCTGGAAGGCCGACATGCACGCGCCTGGCCAAGTGCCCCGGGTCGGCGAACGATTAGCGACCGACGGCGAGCAGTGCTCACCCCGCAGCGTATGGGCACCAGCTCACATGACACTTTGCAGAGCATCTTCTTGCAACTTGAGTCGTCCGCGCAATCTCCGTTCGTCCAGACGCGCAGCGGTTGCGTCGGCACACTCGCGTGTTACCGGAGGTCGTGGACGGTTTGGGCCCATGGAGCGGTCGCCGGCGCCCACGACGCCAGTGCGTTGTTCGTCACGTCACCCGACTGGCGATCACGGATGACGTGACTAGACATTGGTCACGTGACAGCACACCGTCACCATCAATAGCTGCCCATTGTTCCCGAAAAACAGAACACACCCCCGCACCGCGCCTGGGGGCGCGCAACTGACGCCGGTATGCGCGTCGCTACGGTCGAAAATCTTCGTGCCGCTGCTATTAGAGAGTGCCAGCATGGCCGCTAGATGGCTGACGCAACGGGCGGCGAGACACAGGTTTGTCGTCCTGCGTCTGCGGTGCTGGCGCGTTCCCGGTAGCTGGGAAGTCATGTTGCCGACTTGCTGCATGTTGAGTGCGGCGTTGCGCCGCGTCACGTGGTAGAGCGCGGCCGGGCATCGCAAGCGAAGACGCCCATGCAGCTGAGGAATGACGCCAGGCCGGTATGGCCGCACGGCCTCCGGCCGCGATGTCCGTGCAGGGAACACAGCCGACCATTGGGCGGCCCGCAGGCGATATGTGAGTGCCACGCGGACGACATAGACATCTGGCCGCAGGGCGTGCGACACTGATAAGCACAGCCGGCGGCCACGGTCATTGTCAGGAGTTTGGCTTGTATGGCGTTTGCTTGTACAACAATGTGATGCGTTGGCGTTGCATGTTGCCGGCCTGACGGCACGCGCTGCTGGTGACGTGGTGTCGGCCGGCAAACCGGGCCAAACCGCGGCAGGGCGAGGAGAAAACTCCAGTAACACCGCCAATGTTCAAAAATGATTTCAATATTCTGGTCCCCATGTAGGGAACGGATCAGATATGATGCTGATCAGAATAGATTTGTATTCATAAAAGGTCATGTTTCATTATAGGACATGGTAAAAAGACAAACGGATCTGCTGAAGGTCTGCAGCGCTTTTACACGCGACAATGCTTTACAAAAAAAAACTATACTGCCATAATGCCAGGGTACGGTGTAGTGTGCTGCCAGTGGGGTGAAGCGTTGGCTTACCCCGCTGCCCATGGGTGCGTGGGGAAGGCCGTCAGGGGGGGCCGCATCCGCCCCGTCATTGCTCCCTGGATTGCAGGCCTTAGGCCGTCGGCGGCCTCACCGCAGCCAGACGGCACGTCCGCGGCAACGACACCAGGCTGCGTCGCCTCGAGGCGTGACGCCGAGCGAGGAACGCCGGAGGCAAAACTGTGACCACACGACATGGCCTCAGCTGCCCATTGCTTACGGACATTGCAGGGAAGTGGCAAACCCACAGCCGGCCGGACAGCCCAGGGAACGGGCGGGGGCTACACGCCGGAGTGCTACGCAGTCCAGGGTTACGGGAAGCATTTCGTGTTGATTCCATATGATTGATCTAATGCACAGATCAAACAATAATCAGTACAGCACGTGCACACGCGCCGCAAGCAGAAAAACAAGAGGGAGGGGGGTTGGGGGCGTGGGCTGGGGTTGGGGGGGGGGGGGGGCGGAGGGAATGTCTTGATGATTGTCACGTAAATACACCAACACACGGATTAGATGAGAATAAGTTGAACATACTTAAGGGAATGGGGCAGCATCTCGTTGTCACTGTCGTTCGATTGCACCAATACACCGAAAAAATAATGATCAACTACACCCACACAGTGGGCATACAACCCTAAGGAGGGGGGGGGGGGGGCATCTCGTGATGCGGTGATTACACAAATACACAGATCAAGTAAAACCCTTTGACAAGGGGAGGGGTGGCAATGACTTTTTTGTAAAACACTGTCGCGTGAACATGCGCTGCAGACCTTGAGTGCATCCGTTTGTCTTTTTACCATTTCCTGTAATGAAACATGACCTTTGATGAATACAAATCTGTTCTGATCAGCATCATATCTGATACGTCCCCTACATGGGGACCAGAATATTAAACTCATTTTTGAACATTTGCGGCGTTACTGGAGCTTCTTCTCGCCCCTCCGCGGTTTGGCCTGGTTGGTCGGGTGATGCCATGTTACCAACAGCGCGTGCAGTCAGGCCGGCAACATGCAACGCCAACGCATCACATGGTTGTACAAGCGAACGCCATACAGACCAAATGCCTGACAATGGCCATGGCCGCCGGCTGTGCATATCAGTGTTGCACGCCCTGCGGCCAGATGTCTCAGCCGGAAGCGTGGCATTCACACATCTCTTGCGGGCGGTCGAATGGTCGGCTTTGTTGCCTGCTCCAGCGCACGGGCACCGCAGTCGGAGGCCCTGCGGTCTTGCCGACCTGGCGCAATTCCTCAGCTGCATGGGCGTGTTCGCTTGCGATGCGCGGCCGCGCTCTACCACGTGACGCGGGGCGACGCCGCGCTTATCATGCAACAGGTCGGCAACACAACTCCCCAGCTGCCGGGAACGCGCCACCACCGCAGACGCAGGACGACCAACCTGGCACTCGGCGCCTGGTGCGAGAGCCAGCTAGCGCCCATGCTGGCAATCTCTAGTGGCAGCGGCTTGGAGAGTTTCGACCGTAGTGACGCGCGTCCCTTCGTCAGTTGCACGCCAACCAACGCGGTGCGAGCACGTGTTCTGCTTCTCGCCAATACTGGGCACCTATTGATAGTGACGTTGTGGTTTTACGTGACCGATGTCTGGTCACGTCATCCGTGATCGCCAGTCGGGTGACGGGACGAACAACGCACTGGCGTCGTCGGCGCCGGCGACCTCCTCTCACGCGCGAGTGTGCCGACGCAACCGCTCCTTGTCTCGACCAACGGATATTGCGCGGACGACTGAAGTTGCAACAAGAAGCTCTGCAAAGTGTCATGTGAGCTGGTGCTGATGCGCAGCGGGGTGAGCAGTGCTCGCCGTCGGTCGCAAATCGCTCGCCGACCCGGCGCACAGGGCAGGCGCGTGCACGTCGGCCTTCCAGAGCGACAGCGGTCGGCACGACACAAATGCACCTGTTGCAGTTGCATCTGCATCGATTCTCGGGATTTTGGATCAGATCAAAGTGTAGTACTGCCGCCCCTTCCCTTGTCCTAGTGTTTTATTTGATCTGTGTATTTGTGTAAACACCGCATCACGAGACATCCCCCCTCGCTTAGGGTTGTAGGTCCACTGTGTGGGTGTAATTCATTCTTGTTTTCTTCCGTGCATTGGTGCAATCGAGTGACAATCACAGCGAGATGCTGCCCCATTGCCTGAATTATGTTCTACTTATTCTCATCTAATCCGTGTGTTGGTGTATTTACGTGACAATGATCAAGACATTCCCCCCCTGCCATTTCTGCTATCGGCGCGTGTGCACGAGCTGTACTGATTATTATTTGTTCTGTGCATTAGTGTAATCATATGGAATCAACACGAGATTCTTCCCTTGCCTGCGATACACTCCGCCGTGTAGCCACCGCCCGTTCCCTGGGTTGGCCGGCCGGCTGTGGGTTTGCCTGTACCCGCAAACGTCGGTAAACGTTGGCGTCACGCCTCGAGGCGACGCAGTCTTGTGTCGCCCCGCGGACGTGCCGTCTGACTGCGGTGAGGTCGCCGACGGCCTAAGGCCTGCATTCCAGGGAGCATTGACGGGGCGGATGCGGCTCCCGCCGACAGCCTTGCCCCCCCCCCCCCCCACCCATGCCCATCATGGGGAGCGGTGTGAGCCAGCGCTTCACCCCATTGGCGGCACGCTTCACCGTGCCGTGGGATTATGCAAGTATGGCTTTTTTTGTAAAACCCTGTCGCGTGTAAATGCGCTGCAGAGCCTTAGCGCATCCGAATGTCTTTTTATCGTTTCCTATAATGAAACATGACCTTCTATGAATACAAATCTGTTCTGATCAGATGAAACATGACCTTTTTTCAATACAAATCTGTTCTGATCAGCATCATATCTGATATGTCCCCTAAATGGGGACCAGAATATTCAAATCATATTTGAACATTGGCGGGGTTACTGGAGCTTCCTCTCGCCCTTCCGCGGTTTGGCCTGGTTGGCCGGCCGATACCATGTCACCAATAGCGCGTGCAGTCAGGCCGGCAACATGCAACGCCAACGCATCACGTGGTTCTACAAGCGAACGCCATACAGACCAAACGCCTCACAACGACCATGCACGCCGGCTGTGCATATCAGTGTCGCACGCCCTGCGGCCAGATGTCTCAGCCGGCAGCATGGCATTCACACATCTCCTGCGGGTGGTCGAATGGTCGGCTGTGTTCCCTGCACGGGAACCGCAGCTGGAGGCGGTGCGGCCTTGCCGACCTGGTGCCATTGCTCAGCTGCATGGGCGTCTTCGCTTGAGATTCGCGGGCGCGCTCTACCATGCGACGCGGGGCGACGCCACACTCAACATGCAACAAGTCGGCAACTCAACTCCCCAGCTGCCGTGAACGCGCCACCACCGCAGGCGCAGTACGATCAGCAGGGCTCTCGTCGCCCGGTGCGACAGCCATCTAGCGCCCATACTTACAATCTCTAGTAGAAGCGGCATGGATAATTTCGACCGTAGCGACACGCGTCCCGGCGTCAGTTGCGCACCCACGGGCGCGGGGGGGGGGGGCGTGACTTGCGTCTCGGGAACAATGTGCATCTGTTGATAGTGACTGTGTGTTGTCACGTGACCCATGTCTGGTCACGTGATCCGTGATCGCCATTCGCGTGACGTGACGAACAACGCACTTGCGTCGTCGGCGCCGGCGACCGCTCCATGGGCGCAAACCGTCGGCGACATCCGGTCACGCGCGAGTGTGTCGACGCAACCGCTGCTCGTTTCGACCAACGGATATTTCGCGGACGACTTAAGGTGCAACAAGATGCTCTGCAAACTGTCATGTGAGCTGGTGCCCATGCGCGGCGGGGTGAGCAGTGCTCGCCGTCGGTCGCTAATCGCTCGCCGACCCGGCGCACCGGGCCAGGCGCGTGCACGTCGGCTCTCCAGAGCGACAGCGGCCGGCACGACACACATGCACCTGTTGCAGTTGCATCTGCATCGATTCTCGGCATTTTGGGTCAGATCAAATTGTAGTAGTGCCGCCCCTACCCTTGCCCTAGTGTTTTATTTGATACGTGTATTAGTGTAATCACCGCATCACGCGATGTTCCCCCCCCCCCCGCTTATGGTTGCATGCCCACTGTGTGGATGCAATTGATCCGTATTTTTCCCGTGTATGTGTGTAATCGAATGACAACCACAACGAGATGCTGCCCCATTGGCTGAATTATGTTCTAGTTATTCTCATCTAATCCGTGTGTTGGTGTATTTACGTGACAATGATCAAGACATTCCTCCCCCCCCCCCCCCTCCTTTTTCTGCTAGCGGCGCGTGTGCACGTGCTGTACTGATAACTGTTTGATCTGTGCATTAGTGTAATCATATGGAATCGACACGAGATTCTTCCCAGGCTCCCGGACTGTGTAGCACACCGGCGTGTAGCCCCCGCCCGTTCCCTGGGCTGGCCGGCCGGCTGTGGGTTTGCCACTTCACTGCATTGTCCGTATGCGTTGGGTCACTGCGGCCTTCTCGTGTGGTGGCAGTTTTGCCACCTGCGTTCCTCGTCTGGCGTCACGCCTCGAGGAGACGCAGTCCTGTGTCGTCGTCGCGCACGTGCCGTCTGGCTGGCCGTCTGGTCTGGCCATCTGGCTGGTCCAATGGTCCTAAGGCCTGCAATCCAGGGAGCATTGACGGGGCGGATGCGGCTCCCGCCAACGACCTTCCCCCCCCCCCCCCCCCGCCCATGCTCACCATGGGGAGCGTGGTGAGCCAGCGCTTCACCCCATTGGCGGTACGCTACACCGTACCGTGGCATTATGGAAGTATGGCTTTTTACTTATGACGCACTTATGACGTGCAACTGTATTGTAAAGCATAGCCCGCTGCTACGGCAAAAGAGCACACCCAATGCTTCTCGAATTGTGGGTTTCTGAGCCACTTCAGAGTATGACAAGAAAGGAACTATGAAGCAGCGTAAATAAGTGGCCTCGGCGAAATTAGGGTGACCTGACATTTGCAGTAACTGCAGGAATGACGTTCTAAACCCTATTGGAATGCGTAACAACACTTGGGCCGCAGTGAAAATGTAATGAGCAAGAATTGAAAGCTTGACTTTTCTTATTAAGCATAGGGGTCGCAAAGTACATTTTAGTGCTGCCAAAGATGATTTCGGATAAGATCTCTCACTGCCTTGAGTGCTTCATAAGCTTCGACACAAGAGTATGGCGCGAAATCCCTAAGTGCCATGGCACTGTTTATTTCAAGTCCGTAAGTATGCTATCCCAATGGGTTGACGATTGTTTCGTGAAGCAGATTATGTGGAGTTCTTCACACATTTTCAAAACCATCTTGACATAACTGAAAGTTATGATCAGCGCCTCCCCCCCCCCCCCCCCACCCTCCCCACACACAAAATGAGGTGGCCTAAAGCAGAGATTCTATATCCCCTTGGGGGAGTGGGCCCATTCGTTATCCACTGGGCCCAGATGTCACTGGGTTCCTGAGTCCTGGACTAGGATCCTAGGGACTTTCCGAGAACGATCTCCAACCGTGCAATTTTGATTACTTGGACCTTATTCAACCTGTGAGAAGGTACTGTCGTCACTTTACCGTCACAACTATGTCATACAGTTCGACAAGTGACTCCAGCGCCGGTTTTCCTGAGACTCAAGCTAAAAAATGTTCTAGATTTGTGGGCTCTGAGATCACATCGTAAAAGCGGTGAAAATAGGTCCTATAGTAACTGTTTGTACTGCCTACCCCAGTAACTCATCTCACCTTTGTCCGGTTTCTCACCGGCATTATACCTACCAACATTGCGCATTCAGGTCGGAACGCGACGTTGTATCAGCATACAGCTGCCTGGACAGCATGCACCAGGTCGCCGAAAACTTGCCGGGTTCTGATCACTTTGTTTCCAAATATTTGCTCATAACCTCTAGAGAACAATAACAAAACATCCAAACGGTTATGAATTAAGGTGCATTTTGAATCATACAACGCGCCTACGAGTTGGCTGGGGCAGGTTCTCAAGATGCAGCAAGGAGAATCTGGGCGTCATTTGAGCACTGTTTTTACTGCTCGCGAACGGCTCATCGAGGCAGTATCGTGATGAGGCAATCTAAGCACGCTGCTGGCTGGTGGACATGCTTGAGATGTTTTGGAACGCTTAGATATCACTATGAAACAGCCTAGCGATTGTTACCAATTTGCAATGTTTTTTAAGAGTATGACATGAACGGTCTGCAGGACGGTGCACAGTTTTGTGCTTGGATGTGGGTTGCGATTTCTGGGAGGTAACAGAAATACCCGAGAACCCCACATGTTGGATGGCAGTGCTCCAAAAATCTGGACGTGTCTAGTGGGTGACTGAAGTAAGGAATTCAGCAGAGGTCCAACAAGCCCAAGTGCTGTATCTTTAATAAACACACTGGAAGGAAGGCCGCCCCCTTGGCTAACCCTGCGTCCTCACAGAGTTAACAGCCACAACCGGGCAGTTTTGCGCCTTTCTGCCAAACGTATTTGCAGCGTGTCTTTTAAAGCAAAGGCTCAGTCAACCGAAATTTAATTTCCAAAGTTATTGGGTGCCACACTCAGCCATGTAACCCGGACCAGTATTCCCCCCCCCCCCCCCCCCCATCGCAATACGGCCGGCTAAGGGCCGACGTCTTTATTACTCTTGCTCTAGCGGTCTGTTGGGTTGAATGAAAGGCGTCTGTGTGTTGACATGGAAGGGTGCAAAAAGTTTTGTGGCGATGGATGTGCAAGATTGCAAGGCGGAAGTGATTGTACGCTCGTCATTATTGAGAAAATGTCTGTGAGTGCAGACCCCAAGAAGCCAACCACACCTTTAACAGCATTTCTCATCTCCGGTCAAGTTCGAAACCTCAAAACTGATGTGTGGGTGTGGGTGTGAGTATGGGGACATGCCGAACAATTATGTCGTCTAGTTGACCTCTCGTGTCAAAAGCACAATGACATGACCAGGCTTACCATCTTTGAACCGCAACTATTTGACTAGAACAATTTTCAGATGCTACTACAAATTCGTCGCCGGAGTGCGTTGCCCAGCAACGGCGGTCATGAAGGACGATGCCCTCGACATGCGGCGGGGTCACTGCCACGAACCGATGCCTCTGGATGCTGAGGTAATTGCTAGCCGCCCTGCTATAGTAATTGTAGACTGTGAAATGTGTTTTGAAACACAGCCGTGCATGGATGGTCGCTGTGTAAACAACATTTTGGCGTGATACCTAATAGATGCATGAGATCATGCTCTCTCTCTCTCTCTCTCTCTCCTCTCTCTCTCTCTCTGATCTCTTCTCTCCTCTCCTCATCTCTCCTCTCTTCCGTCTCTCTCTCCTCTCTCTCTCTCTCTCTCTCCTCTCTCTCTCTCTCTCTCTCTCTCTCTCCTCTCCTCCTCTCTCTCTCTCTTCTCTCTCTCTCCTCTCTCTCTCTCTCTCTCCTCTCTCCATCTCCTCTCTCTCTCTCCTCTCTTCCTCTCTCTCTCTCTCTCCTCTCTCATCTCTCTCTCTCTCTCTTCCTCTCTCTCTCTCCTCTCTCTCTCTCTCTCTCTCTCTCTCTCTCTCTCTCTCTCTCTCTCTCTTCTCTCTCTCTCTCTCTCTCTCTCTCTCTCTCTCTCTCCTCTCTCTCTCTCTCTCTCTCTCTTCTCTCTCTCTCTCTCTCTCTCTCTCTCTCTCTCTCTCTCTCTCTCTCTCTCTCTCTCTCTCTCTCTCTCTCTCTCTCTCTCTCTCCTCTCTCTCTCTCTCTCTCTCTTCTCTCTCTCTCTCTCTCTCTCTCTCTCTCTCTCTCTCTCTCTCTCTCTCTCCTCTCTCTCTCTCTCTCTCTCTCTCTCTCTCTCTCTCTCCTCTCTCTCTCTCTCTCTCTTCTCTCTCTCTCTCTCTCTCTCTCTCTCTCTCCTCTCTCTCTCTCTCTCTCTCTCTCTCTCTCTCTCTCTCCTCTTCTCTCTCCTCTCTCTCTTCTCTCTCTCTCTCTCTCTCTCTCTCCTCTCTCTCTCTCTCTCTCTCTCTCCTCTCTCTCTCTCTCTCTCTCTCTCTCTCTCTCTCTCTCTCTCTCTCTCTCTCTCTCTCTCTCTCTCTCTCTCTCTCTCTCTCTCTCTCTCTCTCGCTCCCTACGCCAGCCAGTTTTTCATTCCAACAAAGCTTGCTTACATATATTGCAACCAAGGCACACTGTTGCAGATGGCGCAAGTCGTGGTCCAGCTCCGGCAAGCCGTCCAGCAAGGCGGCGGACTGCGGACAAACAGGCACCTGTTTGACCAGGCGGCAGTCGGAGAGGCCGGGGCGGCAATTGGCTATCCGGCGGCGCGGCAGATTCTAATGAGGGAGCGGCGCCGCAATCACCCTGCTACGCCCCAGACCCCGGCACAGGCTGCCCATGCGATCGAGGCCGCTGTTCCCGGCATCCGAAGGAACCTGGCCTTCACCATCACGACCGACGATGGCCAGGTTTGTTTCCAGTTATTATGAATGTTGGGTTTCGCGATCTAAACTGCTATCACACCCGTTTATTGTCGGCCAGGACCCTGCTTTCCATCGACGTCATGGCGTGGTTAGGTTTCGGTCTATTCAATCCACGATTGCAATTTGACATCAGAAACTGTGCGAGATCTGTCATTAAAAGATACCAAAATCATCAGCCATTCGAGCTCCCACGTTCTGGTGCTGCCTGACCAGTTCATTCCAGTATCTGAAAGAATATGGAGCGTTCGAGTTGTTAAGTAAAGAAATAGGCCCGTTGAGTTTATTGATGACCTGCAAGCATTTGAAACAACAAAGACACAAAGTAATGGAAATAGAAAACTTGATGACCTTTAATGGTTCGTCCTGGCGGAGAAATCGTGCCTATTTTGGTAACCTTGAGAAAAACGGGACCAGACCATAGAAAAAAAAATTTTCCACGTGCAAACACCCGCTCAAAGAGAGCCGCCCAATTCAGAAAGTAGTCACGATTCAAATCTTTTAACGGAAGGAAAACAGCTGCCAGTTCCCAACAGCCTGCTTATCTTCAGCATAAGAGGACATCTCGAAATCGCCGGCACCCGTCACTTCCTCACCTTAGGTATGGCAAGTCATTTGAAGCGACTTTTCATGGCATGTGATATATGGCACGGCTACCCTGCTATTATGGCCATTTTTCATTTGGAACTTGTAAAACGCTCAACACCTTGATGTGGTTGTGAATCGGATCCTGTGGAATCCTGACCCACACCCTCGGTTTTATCACTGCGAGTGTGTGTCAAACGACATATTTTACGGGTTATGGCCAGTGCATGTCAGTGAGTAAAAACAGCACAAATCAGCATTAGAAACAGACACGAGCATGGAAACAAATGCACTGTCAAATTGAAACGCCTTGAACAGACAATGAATGGATGTGGCATGGGAAGGAACTCGGCGCCGACTTCGGGTTTCCAAACAAGAAGTTTCCCTAAAAATATTTAGGGTTTCACTATGGCTTTGAGCCATTCTCCACCAGCTTCGACTATGTCTTCCACTGATTTGTATCTTGACATTGCACAGCCTCCCATGCACAGATTCTCGGACGTGTATCGTGCGTCAACTGTACACAGTTGAGCGTGTGTTGATACAGTGTTGTGTTCGTTTCAGGCTGCGATCTGCCTGGCCGCTGACGATGTGGTGGCCAGCGCCGTGGCCCACCCGAACCTGGACATCCAGGCGGATGGTACTTTTCGGATGGTGCCACGACAGTTTCACCAGCTGCTGGTGGTCTTTGTGGCCACAGACGGCGTGATTCTGCCCGCGTTCTGGGTGCTGGCGTCGTGCCGCACCCGGGACATGTACGGCCGGATCCTGGCGGAGATCGGTCGCCGCCTGCCGGCGCCAGTCCGGTTCATGTCCGACTGGGAGCGGGCGCTGCAGGCGGCGGCCGCAGCAGTGTGGCCCAACAGCTCGATCAACGGCTGCTGGTTCCACTACGCCCAAGCCGTCCTCCGTCAGGTGCGATTGCCATAGTGAAAGAGCGGCACACTCACACGTCATGGGCACGTGGATGAAACATCTATCAAACGTATTTGTACTTCGATGATGCATAAGGTGATGCGGGATGAACTTGCTCCGAGCATGCGTTATATTGCACATAAGCTGTTCACGCCACACCAGTGGGACTATTCTCAGACCCTGGTCAAATGAAATGGTCGCAAGACAGGTACTACGTGACTAAAAACACTAGGCCACCCTCTCCCATGTATCTACGCTTATGTCGCACCGCACGGGGGCTCTGGTCGTTAACTGAAGAAAATAAAGGGCAGCCACTGCCACATTTTCTCTTTCGTCGCCGAATACAGTGACGTGCGCGACAACGCGACTAAAAACACTAGGCCACCCTCTCCGATATATCCGTTCATATCTTCGTCAACCTGAGATGACCCTGGCAGCCAAGTTGAAGACTTTTCCCAGTTACCTTATGTTCCAACGACTTTCCACTACCACTACCAATACCACTATACACGTTAACACAATATCAGTTGTGATGCGTGATAACATTGCAACTTGGTATTGGTTGCGAACCCATCACGCGACCTTGAAATACCTTGCACACTTAGCATGCTTATCATGCTAGCATACATAGCATGCTTATCACCTTGACAGGAAACATCAAAGGTTGCTAGCTTTACTTCACCGAGAATATCATCGCTCGTTCAGGTGTTCTCATATGAGATTTTGTTCGCTAAGTAGAGAAGGTTTCCACGGATGGTGCAGCGGTACAAAAGTTGTTCAAAACATCGAGAACGGGAGTTTTTTGGCGTTCAACGTACAGGAAACGTTTCCGCCTCGGCTAGTGAGAAAATGCTATAGGGACCAAACATCGGGAGTTCCTACGAATGCCGTGCGATGGCTGAGTGACTAGGCGTAGAAACGACTAGGCGCGACCTTAGAAACAGTCGTCATCCGAACGTTCTGACCCTATCTTGTCAATTGTAGATCAGGCGACATGGCCTGCTCGCCACCTACGAGAGGCCTCACTGGGAGTGCCCCTCTGCCCGTTGGGCTCGGAAACTCCTGGTGCTGCCCCTGGTGCCCGCTCGCCACCTCCACACGGCTTGGAAGCTTCTTCTGGACCCCAACGTGCCTGAGGTGACGGGAGTTGCGAAGTTGCGCCCTTTCACGTGGTCACTGTATTCTTGACCATTATGCGTTCTGACAACGATCCCACAGTCCGACAGCTCGCTTTACATAAATGATTGATAGTAATGAATATATTTTCTATAATTACGATTCAGTTTGTATCACGTACGCGTACGGGACTTGTTCATCATATAAAAGCAAATTCGCAGCACGTGCATACCTGTTTGTTGCCAATAGTGTAGCTGCTTGAGCGTCATTGAAGCCACGCAGTCCTGCTGAAGTTGGGGAAGAGGTGCCTGAAAGGCTAGTTGCAATGCGAATCATACTCTGTAGGAACGCTGGTTAATTTCACGCAAATGTTCCATGAATCTGACCCACGTTTCCGGGCGATGTTTCGAAAATCGTTTTCAACCATTCCGTTTCGCAGGTAGAGCCTGAGCTCGAGCCGCAAGTGACCCGCCTCGAGGCATACGTGGCGAGGCAGTGGCGCGCCCTGCCGGCCGACCGCCTGTCAGTCCATGGCCTGGAGCGGCGTACGAACAACGACGCAGAGTCATTTTTTTGCTGGGCTAGGTGCCAACATCCCCGCAGCCCACCCCAGCTTCTGGCAGTTCGTAGCCAAGGCCAACAACGTAAGTACTTCATGTTATGTCATGCCTGGATCTACGACCATTTGTTAGAAATGATTATCGCATGTGATGAAAAGCTTAGAAATGTACCTTAACACATTCGCTTGAAACGGCCGAATATCTCAGCCGAAATTCCTTATGCTTGGCATTTCACCCGTGCGCTGATTAGAGCATATATCTTCTAGCAACGTTTGCTATGATATCTTCAGAATGATTGTAGCTGTACAGATATCTACAATTTCTTACCAAACACCATTTTGGAATGTGCCGTTACATTTATGGACACGGCTCATGGCCGGTCAGCGGCCTTGATAGGTTTTTACTACATACGTTGGACCAAAACTGTCTTAAAAATCATGTTCGTCGGTAATGTGCTACGGTACGGTTTCATTTTTCATATAAATACATTTTTACTCGGCGTTGTCACTACCTGAGCTGCATGTTGTTCTCTGCAGGCATCATAGGCCACCGACCTTGTTGACCTGTACCCAGATTTTAGTGCTATATCTCTCTAGTTACTGAATGTAGAGATAGCATTCACTTGTAAATTTGACAACGTCCGGTTTTCAGCCGCAACGCCACTTTCTCCGAAAGTTCACCATTGGTCATTGTCCAGTTGACCTTTATTTCGAAATGGTATCACAGGCGCCCAACTAGCATGAAGTGTTTGCTTTCATTCGCATTTGGACTTACGTGCGGTTCCCTCATCTGCATGCGACTTGCGATAAAAGATCATCGTGGACTGCCGTCCAACGTCGGCATTGAAAATCAGCTTACCTGACAGCTGGCTAGCCCGTGTCAAGCGCCTGCAGTCCGTGGTTATGGTGTGAACCAGTATCGCGGCTTACCTAGTTGATCAGCTGTTGCATTGTGAACATAGTGACAATTCCCACGTTATTGTATGCAACTTAAAATAACCTGATAACATCTTGAGTTCGAACTCGGCTGAAGCACGGCGTTCTAAAATTTGTTCAAAATCGTATTGACCACCTAAAACGTCCCATAGGTCTGTCCGATTCAGATATGCTCTGAAATGGTCTGGTCGACAGGTCTGCTCATCTATCCTTGGTTTTAAGTTTGTGTGCAGTCCGTCAGTGTATGGCTTGACTCTTATTCCTGATGCGTTTACAATGACAGGTCATCGCCAGCGCCAACAGGAACGCCAGGGCTGCAGAGCTCGGCGTCCTCCAGCCCCACGTTCGCGCGAGGCGGGAGCTGCGCGCTACGAACGTCCGCCTGCGGATGCTGGCGGCGCAAGCGGACGCCGGCACCCGGACGGTAGCCATCTATCTTGAGGCGGCGAAACAGCTGTTCCGGCATCGCACAGTAGTGGTGCGAAATGTCGAACTGCTTGGTGGCGACGAGCAAGTAAGTGTTACCAAGGCGTCCTCAATGCATTGCGTAACTAGGAGGCCGGCATTCTGCGATGAGTGATAGAGAGGTATCGCTGGCTTTGGGATTGTGTCATGACCTGCAACTCTAGTAGTGTTATCACATGATCATTCCAGGAGCATGTCTTGGCAGCTTCATCCAGGTTACATTGTAGTTTTTTGCGCGCTGTTTTAGCTCATCTAACTATAGACCATTTTTAGACATTTGGTTGAAGTCTAAAAGCGCTAAAACAACTTAGAGCAAAAGACACCAATTTACAGCGCGAGTTGGACCTCATGGGGACCCAATTGTGTCATCTTTTGAGGTAGCTATGTCCATGGCCTTAAATTCGAACAAGAACAAACAAGGTCAAACTAGATATTGATGGCAAAATATCCAGACGTCCTCAGACAACAAGCTTTAACCTAGATACCTTTTTTAAACAAGAAATGACTTAGGTTCATGTGGGGTCACTGACACCTTGTTGTCGTCAGAAAGTCATTGTGACAAAGAAATGACATTGGCTGTGAACTGATGTTGTGAAAATTGTATTCTTGTAATTTGAATCCAGAATCGTATCGCATCGTCCCAAACGGCGTGTTCGTCGAAGCAATATGAGCATTTACATCAGTGGTCTCTCCTCAGCTTTATGACATAAAGACGAAGCATCCCCGTGATCAAAGAAGTCGGATTGAGCACCCAAAATTTGTGCATCCGGGTGAATCTTCCAGCCAAAAAGTCGTTCGGTTTTAACTTAGCCTGGCCATTCATGTACGGACCGGTGGCACTCTACCTTAAACGGTATCACTGCACATGTGAATTTAAAACAAAGGTTCGAATAATGCCACGCGGCACATCCCACGCGCCATCGATCGATTCGAAACCGGGACCAGGCTTCTCGCCGAGCCGTCTCACCAGATGCCGCCACTTCTCTCACGATTTGTCGGCGCATTCCGGCGTGGCGGGCCCGGAGGCTTGAACACATACACATATACAGACAGACAACTGTCGAAACACGAAAGTTTCCAAACGAACGTCATGCATGGCATTTCGATTCGCTACATAAGCACAAAGCATACTTTTAGCTTCTCGATTTTGATTTAACACGATCCAACGGGATGCGCGTGACGTATCACCCAACTGGTGTCATGGAAAATGAAGATCAGCAACCACAACTTAAAACCATTGAGGACCCGTTATTTTGCATACAACATTGGCTAATATCACGACATTATTTGTAGCAATCATTCGTGTTCTCACAGGCGCTGTCATGAATATTATGGCAACAAGGTGCCGTTACAGGTAGGCTAACCAGGAACGGAAGCGTACGTATTTCTCAGCCCGAACCTAAATGCCTAGCCTTTTAAACTTACATCAGTGTCAACCAATCATTCAATGGCCTGCCGTCCATATCGTCGTCCCACTCGTTATTGCAATGAGCACATTCGTAGGGTTCCAGTACATGCACGTACCGATGCGTGGGTGTGCTGCCACGCATACAGCGTAGTTGTCCATCGTGTATAGTTTCTCTTAAAAACACGGAATTATTTTCAGGCAGATGGTGAGGGCGCTCCGGACCTGCCCCCGGGAAGACAGGAGGTCGAGGAGGAGCCCTGGCCGTTGCCTGTAAGTCTGATCTCGCGAAGGAATGTTTATCCTCAAACGTGCTTGACGTCACATCGAATACAAAACAAACCAGCCTGTTTCGACTTCAGCACGATTTGGTGAAGGAAATACATATCATGGATGACGCTGTGCCACGTCTCTTTGTTTTGAGCGTTGGCCCCAGGTCACTGAGGGTAGGGTTCCTCAACAGTGTAGTTTGGGTCTAAGTTCACAACCCGTGCTAATCGATGCTTGTTCCACCGGCCCCGACCTCAGCAACCCATGTTGGTACACGGGCTCGATGAACAATGTTTTCTTACCCCGGACTGAAAACGAAGTGCCACGGACGAGTCCTAGCATGCTGTCCAATGCCGCCACACTTTTGCCTTGTAACCAACCTGACTTGCAAGTCGGTCGCGAAGCAATATTCTCATAGAACACAAGTGGGTGTTGATTTTAATATGTGAGCCCAACGCGGCGAGATATTCTACACCGTGAGTGCAGTCAGCAGAAGCCCGTCCGCGCCGACTGGACAATTCGAGAAACCGTTTATTGCAATAACGGCACGTGGAAAACTGTTGCATGTTGAGTCGGTTTTCATTGTTGAAGGCGCACCATCTCTTTTTACCTCCGCATGTCAGAATGCAACCTGAATCAAATGACAAGGTCATGAAAAGATGTAACGTGCATATGCTTGAAATAGATTTGACTTGACGACATCCAAGTCACGGAAGCATGGACCCAGGGACTAGAAATTTGGGGAACAGAGATATTTCAACACAATACATTAAAATGTGCCGCATTTAACTTTTGTGAAAGTGCCAAACGTGCACGCTCGGTGCTCAAGTCTGTCTGTTAGTCGCTTTTTGGAGATTGGTGGTGGCATAATTATAGGTCACGGTTTCGGCTTCCGTCTATACCTGCCTCACTTGATGCATGAAATAAATTATTCAGCATGTGCTTTGTCCTTTGCATACCAAAATGCGGTCATACCACGTTTGAGTCGTTTAACCGTCGCGCTACGGGAGTTTGCTCACCTTTACCCTGGGAAGGGGAGAGGGGAAGCTCAGTTTGCCCACCTTCGCCCTGGAAAGGAGGGAGGGGGAAACTCATAGGCCCTCCTTAATATTTCAAAAACTAAGCAACGTACAGCGACAGGAACAGAACATTGGAGGACTTCGCCAAATTTCATCATGTATGTGTGACCTGACAATAGCAAATGTGACCTTTCACAAGTCCCATCAGGTGACCTGCATCGAATTGTTGCTTCTTATATATATATGTATATATATATATATATATATATATATATATATATATTCCAAGGTTGGAACAAAGCACGGTACGACCAGGTACAAGATGGTGTCGAATAACACTTGGAACACCCTATAGCGATAAGGTCCTCGTGCATATCGGCACATGTGATTCACTGTGTGTCATGTCCGGTCAAAGGGAGGGGGGGGGGTATCATTGCATTAAGCCGTTCGACGCCATCAAGGGCCAAAAACTGCATCAATGAGGGGGATATGGTTCGAAAAGCCTTCAAAGGATGCAGCGCATTTGCCATTGGGTTTTACATGGTTCGACTTTAAAAGAGGCAGTTAGTCGAAAACGCCAAGTCGTGACCTGGCTGTACCTTGGGTGGCCTGACCTTCAAAGGCGCCGGAACGATACTAATGCACCCCAGACCAGGTACTGTGCCGAAAAAAGAAGTCTCCAAAACTTGCTGTGGAATGCATTTCCCGGGGATGAAACTTGTCACTGCTAACGAAAACGTCGCTGACATGACCTTGAAAGGCATGTCATAGCTCATCAGTCGTCGCGGTTAGAAACATCCTCCGTGTGCAAAATGTGTCAAAATACATGGTAACTCAGCTACCCAAAATATCCTCAACCGTGGTTACCACCGTTCGCAAGTTATGACAGAAAAACCGCTTCTGAATCCCTTCATGCCTCTCGTATAGGGAGAGTTTCCCGTTAGTTACAGCGCTTATCTTCGGTTGTGATGCCTGCCTTCTCGCCTGCAATCAGGTTGTCGCAGCAGCTGCCATGGCTGGAGGAGCCTTCCGGGCCGCCGGAGCCGCCAGCATCGCTGGAGCTGCCCAGGCCGCCGGAGTCGCCGGAGCCCCCGGACCTGCTCAGGCCGCTGGAAGCCGTCAGAGACGGCCAGCCGGCCAGAGCCGCCAGCATCGCCGGAGCTGCCCAGGCCGCCGGAGTCGCCGGAGCCCACGGACCTGCTCAGGCCGCTGGAACCGTCGGAGACGCCCAGCCGGCCGAAGCCGACGGAGCCCCCGGACCTGCCCAGGCCGCTGGAGCCGCCAGGGCCGTCCCGACAGCCAGAGTCGCCGGAGTCGCCGGAGCCCCCGGGCCTGCTCAGGCCGCTGGAGCTGTCAGAGACGCCCAGCCGGCCGGAGCCGACGGAGCTCCTAGAGCCGCCGGAGCCGGTCAGGTCGCTGGAGCTGTCGAGGCCCCCGGTGCCCCCAGAACAGCCCAGGAAGCCCAGGCCGCCCGAACCCATAGAGCCGCCGGACCGTGCAGAGCCGTCGGGCCGCCCAAGCCGCTGGAGGCCACGGAGCTGCCGAAGTCGCCCAATCCCCGGAACCGCCCAGAGCCGCCGGGGCCGCCCAAGCCGCCAGAGACCACGGAGCCGGACCACCCGCCGGAGCAGCCGGTGTCCCCGGAGGTTTCCGAGCCGCCGGAGCCGCCACGGCCGCTGGAGCTGCTGGTGCCGCCAGTCGCCGGGGCCGCCCCAGCTAGAGGCCACGATGGCCTGTTGAACCAGCCCAGACCAGTAAGTTTAAGTGAAGTTGTCTGTCGTAGAAGATTCATGGTTTACTTGTTAAATCTGCGTTGTGCGAAATCGCGTTATATTGGCTTCCGATGACGCGCGTAAACCATTTGTTTCGATACACTTCAAATGTCGGGAGTGGTCCCTATTTTGACAAAAAAGGGTTCGTTAGAACAAGACCCACTGTGACTCCAGGATGACATTAGTATTAGAGCAATTTCAATAATAAAACGCCGACTGAAATTTTGACATAAGAAACCAATGGGGGTGCATAAAAGCAGTGAAACGTTGCTGACAAAAACGAAGCTATTGACATGCAACGTAATGGTTGAGGAGTGTCTGCAGCGCTGGGATGCAGACCCCTTCACCTGTACGTAAATAATAACATGGTCATCGTGTCAAAACGCACACAAATGGTGATAATGCAAAATTCTCTACTTGTCTCATTTCAACGCAGCAAGTGAAAAATTTCAAACATGCTAGGCTGTGAATGCTGATGTGTTGTTCCCTTACCCCTTAGGAATGCCAAGTATGCCTGCAGCCGTGGGACAACCAGGTCCGCCGGGGCGCGGTCCTACCCTGCCTGCACGCCTACGGCTGCATGCGGTGCCTGCGAGCGATCCACGCGCGGGCGCCCGGAAGGCGGGCCAGGTGCCCATTCTGCCGAGGCCGCTTCTGGGAGCCTCCCAGAGAGTTTTTTTTTGGAAACGCGGGCGAATGTGTCGCGGTGTTGTAACGCTTTATAAAATATATCTAGAAAACGTGCATGGCTGTTGATATTTATTACTACGTAGGAGAGCGGAGATGTAAGGAAACCAGAAGAGGCTGGGAGAGTACTGTCACTGCGAGGCGCAATGCAAAGGGAAAAGGGAACGTAAGCGAGTCGCCGCTGTTTCTGAGCATAATACCACTGGAGGAAAGACGATATGCACACAGTGTAATGACAAGCGCATAATCCCTACCCCAGGTGTGCTCGCAACTTGCTATTGACACGAACGACACAACAATGCAGGGTCAGCACCTACAGCTGCTGATGAGATCCGGTGCTGGACACATGTTGGTGCGGAGATCACGCCTGCATTGTTAACAATCTACGAGTGCTCGCTTTTTGCCACGTTGGGGTCAAACTATTGGTTTAGTGCTGAGTGTCGTAAAAAGTACCCATCAATATTTTCCAATTACGTCGCAATTGAAGTCTTGCTCAATCAAGGATGTAGTTGCGCGAAATGAGAAGATCAGACAAAACGGCCCCTTCGCAAACTATGAATCGGTCTTTAATGTCATGTCATTTTTTTAATTAGAAAAACTGAAGTTGCTTGCAGTGTCTATTCGCAAGCCCCCCCCCCCTACGTTGTTTTTGCTGAACGACTTAGCTCTCAGTTTGCATGCATGTGGTTGAATTACATGCACTAAAATACAAATAATGTTGTAATACATGCACTAGAAACAGAACAGCTATGCTAAGAAATGGACTCATATTTGCTAAATACGTATTACTAAGCCACGGAGCAATTTCGGTTTAGCGAGCAGAAGATGAGCGGAGTATTTATGCTGCATGCAAAAGGCTGCATTGTTCTCAAGACCCAGTATGCCATGGAGTAGAAGTGGCACTTGGCTCACTTAAGTTTTGAAAAGTGTTAGCAAAACAGCAGCTCGGTGACCATGTTGGGGCCATTGTGAATGTACGGAGCGAGGGCGTAATAAATGTGATTAGCGCTTATAGCACCTTGTGGGAATCCGGATTCAACCCCTGCTGCGTCATGGCCCCCAACGTTGGCGTTTGCAGGCGATGGCGCTCCATACAAAGGAGACATATAAATATGCTGTGTCTGGACAACAAAAGTATAGGATTGTTTTGACATACAACGAAGGAAATACTCTTTTGCCTGACTGTGATGTGGGTCACCGCTTGTCCTTGACGAGTCAAAGGTGTAAATCGGCAGCGAACAGCCATAATTGTTTCCAAGTGGAGCGGGGTCCGGAGCTCGGCGAGCACACATTGTGCCGATTCTCAACTTTTTGTCAGAAACCATCTATGACTAAAAACCAGATGTGGGTGTAAGCGGGGGGGGGGGGGGATGGATTATGGCACCTGGCGTGAAATCCTTTGATTTGTGCTTCGAAATTCAAATTCCGTATTCCTTTCGTACAAATAATGCAGATCCGAAGCAAACCATCAAAACAAACAGCAACAATGAGCGTTATCCGCTGAACGCTACGGACGGCTTGTTGGCAAGGCACGCATTGGAATTTTCCGGATTATGTAGTATCGTATATCGTGCCCAGTACTTCCAGCTCTGGCGAGGCACTCAGAAGCAGTGCGAAAGCATAAGAAGAGAGCTTGCGAAATCTCTGACCCAACTTGGAGGCATGGAGCACGAATTTTGGTTCATGGGTCGCGTATGATCAGACGTCCTGGTCGGTAGACCCAAATTTTCCTTACGACCACGATGAAACCATTGTCAAGCCACAAAGCAAGCAGGCAAGAAGCCGATCCACGGCTACCTTCGCACAGGCGCAGCGAGAGTGTGGAGAGCGCCGGGGAAGACACTGCAGGTCTCTCCTAAGAATTGCAGTGACGCAAAGCCGAAAGGGAATGGAAGGATGTCTGTTACCCTGGAAATGAACAGCCGGACCGCGTACCAGGCTTTCCAAGCACTTGTAGTTTATCACGCTTCGGCAGATGACGCTAATCATAACCAGGCAGTAAAAGCCGAGCAGTTGTCAGGGCGGGGGAGGCGCCGAACGGCTCCCCCACAATCGCTGCCGGCCCAAGCCGCTCTGTCATTGGACAAATACCTCACTACGTCATTCCGCCTATCGCATACGACAACGGTCGGCGGCGGACGGCGGACCGCACTCCGAGTAGTGGTAGTGTTGTCGGCCGGGTGTATATGCGCGGCGGAGGCTTCTGGGAACGTCGCTGACGGTCAATAAAAGCTACGATTCATACCCTGACGGCCGCCCCAGAAACAAAATTGGCCATTATGTACAGTGACGTTGGACATTGTGTACCTTTGGACATTACGTACTTTGGACATTTTGTACTTTGGACATTGTGTACCTTGGACAATGTGTACCTTGGACACTCTGCTTTGGACGTTCCGGACCTTGGACAATACGTACTTTGGACATTGTGTACTTTGGACATTATGAACTTTGGACATTCTGTACATTGGACATTGTGTACTTTGGACGTTGTGTACCTTGGACAATCTGCACTTTGGACAATATGAACACCTCCACACCGAGCCATTTTGGAAGTTATTTCTCGTTTTGGACATTCTGTACCTTGGACATTATGAACTCTGGACACTCTGTACATTGGACATTCCGTACTTTGGACATTCTGTACCTTTGGACGTTGTGCACCTTGGACAATATGAACGCATCCCCATTTGGAGCTTCTCCAGTAATTGCGGAGGTCCCGCTGACCGGTCGACCGCTGCGATCTCGGCGGTCGGAAGGGAGGGCTTCGCACTAGAGGCTCAGAAGTGTTTCACCCCTTGAACCTCTGCGCGGAAGCTCCGGTCAGATACCGCTTTTCCGGTCAGATGCCGGCCGGCCAGATACCGCTTTTTAGCTGTCAGGGAGCAATAGCCTCACGGGGCTATGCTTGAATGTAACGACGGTTTCAGTATCGGAAACCCGACATGGGCGACTTGGCTCCATTGTTACGCCGTTTGCAAACTAATGTCATTTAAGTTATCAACCTTTGTTGTCAAAAATGGCTTGCAGCATACCGAGGGTTGTCCGTCTATGGCTTTGGTGGCACGATCGTACAAGTGGCTAGTTGCACTAACAGTATTACTTTGGGCGCTACGCCCTCTCAATGTCATAATCTTGAGACGAGCGCTTCAAGCTGGAAATGGCTGTTTCATCATGTCCTTGCTTACGATTTAGCCGTGCAATCAGTTGTTACGGGCTAACTAACGTATTTGCATGCTTTGATCTTTAAAAGCCAAAGAGAACATCCGGGTGCCCTTCGTAGAGCGACTGTGAACCTTTGCCCTGCTTCGCCGGTTTTCTTGATGATGGGGGTGCAGTAGATGTGAACCGCTGCCGTCACAACAAAAAAGCATGAAGTCCGGGGACGGGACGTCAGGCGGATTGGTCTAAGCCAGGGCTCGCTAGTCTTAGCCAGTTTTATTCCTCTAAGGCTAATATATCACCCCATTAGGCCAGGCCAAATGTAAATTTCTCCTGACAACCGATCTTTTCCAGCTTGGCATGTCCATATGTACGTCATGACGCATATTAACAGCATGCGACTTTCAAAAACG